ACCCAAAATTTTTTTTTTTTTTTTTTTATTTTTTTATTTTTTATTTTTCTTTTGAAATATAAAAATGACTTTAATGATAATGTTTGGACTGCACCTTGGACCAAAGGAAATGATCTATTACATGTGACCAGTAGCAACCGATGGTCAGCAATCAACTTTGGAATAGTCTTACAATTAAAATATGAATTTTTGAATCTGCCAATTAGAAGAAGATAATGTGAATAAAAATTTGTGGGTACATGGTGACATATACTATATGTATATGTGAACAATTATCTCTATAAATACATCTTTCATATTCATTGAGATTTCTCATAACAAATTAGTTATCTACAAGGAGGGATGAAGATCCATCTATCACTTCATTGTATTACTCTTCTTTTGAACTTAGCCTTACAAACACCTCATGTCCTATCCATCTCCATTTCTCAACAAGAATCCTCTTTTCTTCTTTGCCTTCAAAACAATTCCTTACCGTCTAACATTCTCTTCACGCCCGAAAATCCACAATACACAAATCTATTCTTCTCCTCCATCCAAAACAATAGAACCCTTTTCAGTTCTCCTAAACCTTTTCTCATCATGACTCCAACACACGGATCTCATGTTTCAGCCGCAGTCCTTTGCTCCAAGAAACTAAATATCCCATTGAGAACTCGGAGCGGCGGACATGATTATGAAGGACTCTCATACACCACCACAAGCTCTTCCTTTGTTCTCATCGAGCTCCGTAACTTTCGTTCCGTCAATATGGACCTACCCAATAACACAGTTTGGGTAGAAGCAGGAGCAACGCTCGGGGAGCTTTATTATGCCATCGCCACCAGAAGCAAGACAATCGCATTTCCCGCCGGAATCTGCCCCACAGTCGGCGTAGGAGGGCATTTCAGCGGAGGAGGCATAGGGACCATCATGAGGTCTTTCAGCTTGGCAATTGACAACATTGTGGATGCCAAGATCGTGACCGCCAATGGTGAAATTCTCAACCGGGACTCCATGGGAGAGGACCTCTTCTGGGCCATAAAAGGCGGCGGCGGAGCCAGCTTTGGAGTCATCCTATCCTACAAACTACAGCTCGTAAAAGTCCCCCCTAAGGTCACCGTATTCAACATTAACAAAATACTAGCAACACGAAGCGACATCAAACTTCTCACCAAATGGCAATCAATTGCATATAATATCGACAATCGATTGTTCATAAGGGTGATATTAAAAGTGGTGAATGTTGATCGAGAGAGTAATAAAAACATTCAAGCTACATTCCAATCCTTGTTTTTGGGAGAGATAAGCGAGCTTCTTCCTATAATGGGTGAGAGCTTCCCTGAGCTGGAGCTTCAATCAAATGACTGCATGGAGCTAAATTGGATTAGAGCTGTGCTAAACATTGCAGGTTACTCTCACAATGAGCCTCTGGAAAAACTACTCAGCAGGGCTCCCCAATTCAATAACTTATTCAAAATTAAGTCGGATTAGAGCTGTGCTAAACATTGCAGGTTACTCTCAGAATGAGCCTCTGGAAAAACTACTCAGCAGAGCTCCCCAATTCAATAACTTATTCAAAATTAAGTCAGATTTCCTCACAAAGCTCATCACTGATGAGCAATGGGAGGTGATTTTTAGTGAGCTTCTGAAAGGAGAAGAGCACCCTTTTCTAATTATAGAACCATTTGGTGGAAGAGTGGATGAAATAAATGAAGCAGAAACTCCATTTCCACACAGAAACGGAAGTCTGTATAACATACAACATATTATAACCTGGGAAGATCCAGGGATGGAAGTAGCAGAGAAATATATTGATAGGATGAGGGAATTTTATGATTTTATGACACCATATGTTTCTAACAACCCTAGAACTGCATATTTAAACTACAGGGACCTTGATTTGGGGAGAAATCTGCATAAAAATGCTAGTTATTTGGAGGCTAGGGTGTGGGGTGAAAAGTATTTTAAGGGAAATTTCAGGAGGCTGGCCTATGTGAAGGCTAAAGTTGATCCTGAGAATTTATTCTGGAATGTGCAGAGCATTCCTCCTCTTGCTTGATTTTAATGTCATGATATGATTATATAAATTGAGGTTTGGGTTTAGGAAGAATTGTGTGCATTCATACACACAATTCTCATGTAACTTTGATTTCTTACATTTATACCGCTTTAGCTATCATTGAAATGTTGTGGTTAACTTCATTATGTTATTATTAGTGATATTTTTTATGTGATCTAAATGATTTAAGAGTTATAAATGTAAACAATCAAGGTTTAGATGTTAGATATGTAAATACATAAGAATTGTGTGGTATGTTTGTAAATGTTTTCTTTTTTTTGGAGATATTATGCAAAACACAGCCGCCCAAGTCTAAGAGTTTTAGAATGGTTGATTTCTAAAAGAACAAAAAAATACCTTAAAATTTACCCTCAATACAATACCTTGTCATTTTCTTTTGATTTATAGAATATTTTAGGTATTCATTTTAGGAAAAAATGAGTTATCATATCCAGTATCCGCACTTTTAGTCCGAATTCTAGCGACGATCTGGTCACATGAAATGCATAGCGATGTGTCCAGATCATTGCCATTGTTCGAACGTGCAAGTTCACTAGACAATTTTTTTTTTTTTTTTTTTTTTTTTTAAATTTTTTTTTAATTTTTTGGGGGTTTTTTATTTATACCCCCCCCCTTTTTT